AGATGTCTTACATAATTTAATATAAGCATTTCTGCCACTGTATTACAAGTCTGGGCCTAAATTGACCACCTGGTAGGCCAAAGCACTAGGGGACTCCCCCCCCCTTCTCCTATATACCACAGCTCCAACTGTTGGGTTAGATAATATGTTATTAGCATGATTTTAAACAATGGCTTGTTTGAACTTAAACTGCTTTTGCCTCTTCATCTCATATCCATCACTTTTAATTCACCTCTGTCTGCCTTTCTCTCACATCACGCTGTACAGAGATACATCTGTATTATTTTAAAAAAGGAGCTGAAGGTTTTTTTGTGGCACTTTTGAGGTCGGCAAGCAGGATACAGAGGAAATAACAGCAGATAAAAGTAGAAGCTATGAATTTCTTTAATCTATTACTGCCATTATTTTTTTTTTTTTTCCTCCCCTATTAGATTCATTCATAAATGTTTTCATATCATTATCTGTCCAGGGTTTTCAGGTTAGGGACTAGTCTTTGATTTTTCTTTCAAGCAAAGCTCCCTAGTTTCTTTTTCATTTTGGGATCGAACTGTAAGCTACAAAACTTTGTTCCTTTTCAGCATTATGTTAATGGAACACACGTCAGCAGAACAGTATGATTTGTGTTTATAAAGATTGGCATGCAGAGAAAACCAGTGCAGGTACAGGAAGAACATGCACCTTTTGCAAAGAAAGGCTTTAGAGAGCCATGCGATTCAAATGTCGAACCTTCTAACCACTGAATCACTAAATGTTTTTTGCTCTGGTTGATATTAGTGAAACGCGAGCTGGCATTTGCACCGAAAGGTCACGTTATCTGCTTCACACAGGTGGTACGGATTAAAATATATCTGTTTACTTTTACTTCATGGACTTTTTGCATCAATTAGTTCTGTTGCAGGGTTTCATCCTGTCATATCTTGAGTTCTCTAAAGGTCTATTTTTATTTTTATTTTTTTTAATTTATTGATTAAATTATTATCTCTATTTTTTTTTTTTTAGTGCAGTTATAGTTCTAGTCGCTTCCAGTGAGGGTAATGGATAGAGTCTTCTCTTCACACCTCCCCCATCACATTTATCATTCCCAGATCCATGCTACCATTTAGGTCATTGCATATCAAGTTATACAAAGTGTGCTGAAAGAACACAGACGATTAGTCAGTATCTTCAATGCTGGGATGTCTTCCATGACTTAGGACTATCAGTGCTCCCCTACTGACATATAAACAGCAGGAGCATCATCCAGAAGTTGTTTTCCCATCAGCATTGCTTCTAAAAAAACAAAAAAACAAAAACAAAACCCATTCTCTGCAAAGAGCTGACAATTTCAGTCTGTGGTTTATAGACGGGTTGTTTATGGAACAAAGATTATCCCTGCTATTACATCTGTGGGTTTTTTCAGGTAGTAGTGCTATGGTTTTATCGAGACACTTCTGTTTTGTGAAGCCATTTGGAGCCAGGGTTTGCTGTTGATGGTAGTGGTAGATCTGCCTGTCCGTGACGCTGAGCCACTTGTTTTGCTAATTCAATGTAATTAGAGTTGTTTGATTTATTCGATGGATTTCAAATGATAATAAGCTTCCATGTACTTGAGATGAAAATATTTGGCCATGATTTGGGATTCAGTCTTTCTATTTGCAAGTCAATTTCAGATTGTAACACAGGACAATTGCATTGCAAGTGCATTTATTGTCATGAAGTTAACACTTAACTTCATATTTAAGGCGCAGAGAGCAACAAAAATGAGAATAATAAGTCTTCCAAAATGTCAAACTATTCCTTTGAGCAAGACTGTGTTTGTGTAAATCTCTGAAGAATTTGGTAAAGATGTGAATGAGCAATGCTCCCCCGCAGTGAACAGCTGCCACTGATCTTTGAGATGACCTGGATGAAGGAACTTAGCACCCAGCCCCGAGTTTTTAGAGGAGAGCTTTAGTGGCAGCTGTGTTTGTAGTAAACTTGTTTAAGGTAATTAATTTAAATTTGCTTAATGGCAAACATCATCTCCTGTTGATAGTTTGATGCTGGGGGATCATAGTGGGCAGCTTAATTAAAGGCCTCCTTTTTGGGCTTTTCCTAGGCAACACACTGTCAGCTTGTCCCCACTCTGTCCTCTTCTACACCGTGTTATTAATGAAACAAGCAGGACTGAACAATGAGGTCCCCAGTGGTGCATTGTGCTTCCAAAGGTTGCCTTCAGCAATGCGCCACACCTCTGGAAACCCCAGGGATACCTTGTGAGAGTTTTCCCTACTCAGTTATAACTTCCTGCAGCCTTATTTATTTTTTGGACTAATTAAGATAGAACAAAAATATCCTAAAGTAAAGTGTGGTTTTTAAGCACATAGTTGCTACTTATGCCTGTGGTGACCCCTGGGAGTTTCCTAAATCAAGCATGTTGAGTTTTGCTCAAAGCAACTCCCCTCAGACTCAGATGAAAGAATTATAGGATTGCAAATATGTGTCTAGTTGTCTCTCTTTAAGTACCTTGCTTAATTTGTGTCCTTAATTGTTTTCCTTGAGGCATTACCAATGATTCTTTTCATGTTTTTTTTTTTTTTAATCATTGTTGTTTGATCTGTGTCAGTTTCCTTTTCATTTTCTAATGTGTCTTTGATAGGAGACCCTGTTAAATGTCATCTAATAACCATCTATTATCACAGGGTATAAACATTGGGGAACAGTGTACTATTTTATGCAAAACTGTAATTTGAATGTTAAAATAAGACACTGTTACTTCCCCTGCTACTTTGCTAAACTGAGCAGTGTGATTCTTTGAAATGATGCTGCACATGTAGCGAGAACTAGAAAATCACTCACATCTGATGCATCTTGGAGCTAGTATGCTAATAGTAGTAGGCTACATTAGCCACTACTAGGAAAAGATGCAGTGGGGTTAACAGTGTTCCTAGATTTTGTTAAGGCAAAAGAACATGCAAATAGCCTGTCTGTGTACAGTGGTGACATTCATCTCTGCTTGAGGCTATCAGCTATAACTAGTGGCTAATTCTGCTACCATAACACTTTGGAAATCGCTGGGGGAAAAATAGCTTGTTATTGTTGAAAGCGGTGTTTCTGTTCTTGAGGCTATCAGTTTATATGCTAGTAGATGCTGATGTAGGCTACTTTAGCTACTATTAGCATAATAACCCAAAAACTAAAGTGGTTTGTGGCACCTAGCTTTTCAGTTGAAAGTAGATTTCTATCGCTGCTTAAGGCTATCAGCTTGAACGCAAGTAGCAGCTAATGGCGCTGCTTAGCAGGAAACTCTGTAAACACCTTGAGGCAACTGTTGTTGTCATTTGGTGCTATAGAAATAAAATTAAACTGACTAACTTGCCAACAGTTATTTAACCCCCCCAATTCTAGTGAATTAACCTATTAGTTGAGTGTATGTTCTGCTTTACAGGCATGCTTGGAACTAGTGGGTTATATGCTATTAGTATTTAATATAGGCTACTTTAGCCACTAGCATACTGGAATCTCTCAAGCTGTTGGAAGTCAAGTAGCAAAAAGTTTAATTGTTCCTGTCAAGGCAGAAGGAGCTAAATTAAAAAAAAATAAAAAAAATCATCACAACATGAGTGCTGGGTGCATGCTGCTTTCCTGGCCTTTTTTCCTCTTTGTTTCATTCTTTTAATGAACATTTGCTATCATAAAGTTTGATTTCTTACCTCCTTAGTGGGACTGGAGAAGTGAGTCATTGTGTGAATCAGTTGCCTCCCAGTAAGAAACCTAAACCCTTCTTCAACTCACTGCCAATGTCAGCGAGTCAATAATACTCAGGGGGCAGATTGCCTGAGCAAAAGCCAAGCTCCAGTGGAGTCTGATGATTAAGCAGGTAATCAGAATCATTAGCAGCACTGGCCAGTGTTTGCTTTCATCAGTATGCAGCCCTTTGGAGTTGCCTTTCCTAATATCACACTGTTTGTACCGCTTGGATGTATTAATTGACGGATAGTTCTGGCTTCCTGTGAAACGTACTTTATCTTTTCACATTTTGCTGTATGTGAAAACGAATAACTTCATTGGGGTATAGGATTACAAGGATGTCGCATTCTCACACTCAAGACGACTGTGCAGTAATGCAAGTGACGGTGTTACCGCAGTGTGTGCAGAGCCTCCCGTGGGAGAGAGGACAGGCATGACAGTGTGCCTGCAGCGTGCTGGTTTACCCTTCGATGATCCACCTTAAGAGTGTCTCTCACTTGTCCACCCATCAGTCCTCCTCCCTGTCTGGAGCCACTGCAGCCAGTTGTCATTAACTCTGGCTGTGGGCATGATATTGTACTGCCTGGGCAGGTGTAATAATCCATGCTGCCTGTTGTGAAATGTTCTGGCTGTCTTGCTGTATTGATCAGCCCTGAACATTTGGAAACTGTAGCTGTAGAAAAATACTGCATATACAGCTATAGCACAGATTAAATTTGCTGTCTTTTTTTGTGGTAGATTGTTTGTAAAACCTTTGTATCCTTGGACATTGTTTTTTTCATTTTCTTAATAAACAAACCTCAAATGTTTTAGTCTGACATACCTGTAAAGTGCAGTCTTCACATGAAGTAGGTAATTTTAAACCACAATGTTGTTGGTTAAATATCATTTAGTCAAAATGTCTGACTGCTGTGTAATAAGCGTGCTACATAGTTGTAACTATTCATTTTTTTGACATTTAAAATATTCTAGTTAAACTGTTCTGCTTTTTTTATTGTCTCATTTCCTCTTTGTTCTTAACAGCAAGGAAGTAATTATTGTGCATATCCTAATTATGCTTTGCCTGGAGTGTATTTTATACTTATTTGCTGTTAAATATGTCATAGCCTGTTACACATATCTAAAAGTATAGGCCTAGGTGTTTTGTTTCAGTGGAGCATGAATACTCCTGCTGTGAATCCATTGCTTTAATCACTGTATAGATTAACATTTGTAATTATCTTTTGTATGCAAGTCTATATTTTTGCATTCTGCAAATGTGGCTCATAAATACCCTCCTTTCTGTTTTTCAGCTGTGAAGTTCAGCAGATATCCAGGGCTGCATTTTCCTGAGCAATAAGGTAAGAGGCTGTTAATGGAGATGTGGTGCACACATATAGTGACAGAAAAGCTTTTAAATCACATGTCTGGACTGTGGCTGGATAGATTGTGAGGGGGAAAAAAAGAAGTCATTACAGATGGTACACAACACCACTTACGGGTGAAAGAGAAGTAGCTGAAAATGTGTGATTTGGCTTTTCATTAAATTAAATTAAAGTGTGAAATCACACATTTGGATAATTGTAATGGAGGTTTTGCAGTTTTCACTTTTATGCTGTACTGAGACAGATTGGACGCCAATGAAATTTTCCCAGTGGCAAGCTCTTACTTTGCTACCAATGCTAGAGGATGAATATGAAATTCATTCACTTTAAAAGGTACAGTTTGCTAGTACTGTGTGGAACCCCGTCTTGCCTTCAGATATTGCTTAATTCTGTATGGCATAGGTGCTGGAAATGTTCTTCAGAGATTTTATTCCATATTGACACAATAGCGTCACGTAGTCGCTGCAGATTCGTCCACTCTACATCCATGATGGAAATCTGCCGTTCCAACAGTTTGAGAATCTGATAACTGTAGAGCCATTTCAGTACAGTGAACTCATTGACAAGAAATGTGTTTGAGTATTCTAGTCGTAAAGGTTGCTGATAAAGATTTAAAACAAGCTTATTTGGTATTGAGAGGCCGAAAGTATGCCAAGAAAATATCCTCCACACAGTTACATTATAGCAACCAGCCTGAACCTTTGACGCAAGGCAGGATGGATCCATGCTGTCATGTTGTTCACGCCAAATTCTGACCCTACAATCCAAATGTTGCAGCAGAATTCAAGACCGATCACATGTGGCAATGTTTTTCCATTCATCTTTTCTTCAGTTTGATGAGCCTCAGTTTCATGTTTTTAGCTGAAAGGACCTCAGTGTGCTCAGTCTGGTCATTGTCAAATTTCTGACCTCCACAAGGCGTTTTCACCAAGGGAACTGCTGCTCAGCAACCACGCCATTTCTTTTCCATTCTGATGCCATATCAGCTACCTGATAAAATATCCAGTTTGTGTATATTGTAGAAGACGTGCTACTTTGTGTTAATGGAACCTATACAGTTAGGTTACTGCTCTGTCGCGTGCTACATGTTTGTTCTGACGAGGCTTATCGGGATGATCAGGAGTAGCTTCCAGCTGCCGGGGAGCCATATGGAAGCACACTAAATGATTTCTAGTCGTGTTGCTTTTATCTGCTGTTTGGAGTTGCAGCAGCAGCATCTTTAGTTTTACTGTATTTTCTGCCCTTTTATTTTTCAATGCGCTTTTTTCCTCTGTTTCCATTATTGTCATTCTCTTCACTTACACGATTACAGGTTCACAGTGAAAGCTTAAGCACTTCACCTGTACAGCTCACTCTAAAGCATTACACACCAGTCGAGGGAGCCGCTGAAACTAAACAGTCTACTTCCGCTCCATTTGTGTGTTTACCCAGCAAGGGGGAGAGTGTGTAAGCAAGACACACCTGGTACAATTTATCAGTTACTCTGTGATCTTTTCTGTGGACACTCGAGATTATGCCGTTTACATTCAACTAACTAATAGTCAGTAGACTTTATAATATATTAAATTGTGTTTGCCTGTATACAGACCTCTCTAACAGCACACAATAATGTACATTTTCAAGTCGACTCAATGTGCTGCTTTCTGGGGGCAATTAACTAGGCAACATCTGGTGCCCAACTCCTTTGTAACTATGCTCCACTCTGCAAATGAGTTTACAGTTTCTGTGTGTTTTAGTTTTCTAGCAATTAATGAGCTCTGATGTTGATTTGTACCAAGCTTCAATAAACAGGCAGATCTCAATGTAATCAGATGTGCTTAAAGTGTAATCCTAAATTATAATCAGGCTATAGGTTAAGAATCGGCTTTTTGAAGTGATAACATGTTAATTACGCTGCTGTTTTGTATCTTGCTGTGCCTGCTAAAAAATTTCTTCTTTTGTGTTTGGCGTTGACCGTTGTTTCAAAGCATTACATTTGAAAATGGTAGTGTGTCTTAATTTCAATATGGTGGGATGTTCAGAATTGAGCTGCCAGTAAAGAGAGAGACGGAGAGGAAGAGGGGGACAAGGAATTTGTATCTCGGTCCAAACCTTTCCTTAAAAGTCTGTTTATATCTGTCATGGCTCAGCTAGTTTGTGTGATCCTAGCCTCCTCCAGCTGTTCAGTACTCTGTTTGCTCTCACATGATTAGTCCAGCATGAGCTCAGTTTGTGAAGCTGTGAGCAGATGAACCTTTTGATACACGGCGCATACAGTATATAGACCAGCTTTGGCTGTCTTAATGATTCCCACAAAATATATTTATAAAAATATTAGTTTGAGTTCAGGATCTTTTCTTCACATTTTGCAGGATTTAAAGGTGATGAATGTGAAATGTATAAGATTTTACTGCAGCTTGCTTTCCAGCATTGACACAAACAACAGCACTGGGTTTCCCTGTATCTTGCATTGTGAGGGCTGTTTATCCTTATTCACATCCTAACGGCTGCCAACTAAACTACACTACACTTCCTTGGATCTCCGGCAATACACCAAAATAGGGTGAAGTAGGGTTGCTGAAAAAAGTAGACACAAAGGTGCCTTTATTTGTCAGTGACTTTATCTCAGTAGATGAGCAAAGAAGCAGTCTGAGCTAGCAGCAGATCAGGTTTCCATAATTTATTAATTTTCCAAGGTATTGTGTGACATCCTCACATGCTTTTTCCACATGCTGTGGAAGCACCTCTGCTCTGCTACTCATGAGACAGCAACCTTTCTAAATTATTTTTTTAATCCGTACTCTGTTTCTTTTTATCACTGCCAATTGTTTTAGTTCTGTTTCTCTGTGCATGGCCAACATATTGCATTTTAAACACGGCAACTGTTGCCGATGGTACAGCCCTGAGTGGATGTATTGTTGCACTGTCGGCCTCTTTCTTGCCAGGAAAGATTCATTAATTGTAAATGGAAGTAATAATGCTGTGAAGATACAGATTTTATTTTATTATGTAGTCTTATTATGGGAACTGTTGTGCTGGATATGAAGAGCCTAATGTTTCCAGGCACATCAACCCACAATTCTGGGTTGGACTGTCTTGGTGCTCTATTCGTCCATGTTTGACCCAATGCTGGATTACTGAAATAAGTCACTTTTAACCCAGCAGCTTTGTCTTTTTCCTTGCACGTATATAATTTTGATTTATATTGTTATCGCACTCTTTTGAAACAATATACTAATGAATGAATGAATGAACTAACTTATATTCTATAAATATAAATGTTTAAATTACAGATATATTTTTGTACAGTATCATGCACTAAATCTCTGTCAGTTGATCTGATACCTTGCAGCTGAGGTTGTCTGTGGTTTATCTAACAATGATGATATGGTGTGTCACTATGGTGACTGTAAAGCAGTGGTTACAACTGACTATGACCATATGTTGTGGAATTAGTGAGTCAGAGCGGCATCATTCAACAGCAATGGCAAGTATTTCTTAAACAAGGAGCGCTGTGCTGAGGAAGAAGTGATTTCACTTTCATAGCAGAAACCTGCCTTGATGCTGTGATATTTGTAGCAATGCTATATGTACTTTCTATTTAAATAGCCTTCGTTTATTGTTGTTGTTTCCAGGACTGTCTGTGATTTCAGAGAGTAAAATGCTAGTGATGAGCAGATGTGACTTTTTTTTTTTTTTGGTTTGTCAGCAAACAGATTAAATATTTATTTTTTATTTTTCGTATGAGAATTGGTCTTACTCGCCCTGTGAAGTGAATGGCTCTCGGCCACATCACACCCTGACTGTTTCAAGCTATTGCTGAATTCCTTCCACAACAAGACATTTTACCGGCAAGTAGTAGGTCATGCCTCCTGGTGGGTGAGACTGAGGCCATCGCCACACCAGCTAACTGACACCATTATAGTGAATCACCTGTTTTTCCAGTCAGAGTGACTGTGCCATTGGGAAGGGTTGTGTAATCGGAATTGCATCACTGCCAAATAGAGGGGGGCCTCAGAGTCTGGGAATCCTTTGGCCTTCTTGGCATTCAAATCAACCCGACTATCATGGGTATTCTCCCCTGGATTTCTTTTCTTTTGGGGGTTTTTATTTTTTGTCTTTATATGTTTTTGTTATGGGTTATTAAAAAATAAGTCTGTTTTTTTTTAAATAGATTTACAGTGAAATGGCTACAAATTCAATAAATGCAGCCACTTTCAGCATGCTAAAATAAAAAATGTTGCATGTACTTTGGACCTTGAATGTTAATATTGTCACTTATGTATAAATTGGCTTGATACTGATACACTGTCGTTTCTATTTGATCTCTAGTGACACTTTCATCCGTGATTATATCTGTGTTCATCAGTGTCGGCCCTTAGTTGGAGTCGGCACTGCTACACTAATGACTTAACTACTATCTGCATTCATCCAAACAGTATTCAAACTGAAGATCTTGTGCTATTACAGATGGATGTGGAATTATTATGGAGAAAAGTGACTAATGGAAATTATCTGACATCAGGGATTATCCTCAGACTTTAACGAAACCGGTCACACGTGAAACGCAATCCATCCAATAAACATTTAAAACCATATAAAGCAGAGATTATATGAACGTTTAGTGAATGGCAGAGTTTATTGGTTACAATGTCATCACTGTAAAGTGTTTTGAGAAATAAGTATGAAAATCACATTGTAAGAAATAAAATAAAAGGTTTACATTTTTTGTAGACTTGACAGCAGTGCATATGAGAATGAATGGCATATTGAGCTTTGGTTATACTTTGTTACGCACAAATATGATATCATATTGGAGACATGATAGCCAAAGAGTCATTCCTGTTATACTTCCTTGAAGTCCGCTTGTAGGCCTTTGCTGTCCGGATGCATAGTTGGTGCATTGTAATGTAAATTCTCCCATACAAATCTGCACAGTCACGTGGGGTCCACCCAGGTCCTTGCACTCACTGTCTGATGATGAAATTTAAGTCACT